GAAAGTTCGAAAGATACGAGCACAACAACAGTTCACCATAAAAGACTGACAACAACAACAACAACAACAACAATCAATCAATCAATCAATCAATGTCCCCGAACCTCCCTTCCCCCTCTTATCTCCCTCTTCCCCCCTATCTCCCCGAGCTTCCCACCCTCCCTTGTCTTGCCGAACCTCAGTCCTAACACGGCGGGTCTTCCCCCTCCCTCCCCGAACCTCCTCCCAGACCTCCCCTTCCCGGAAAGTTCGAAAGATACGAGCACGACAACAGTTCACCACGAAAGACTGACAACAATCAATCAATCAATCAATCAATCAATGTCCCCGAACCTCCCTTCCCCCCCTTATCTCCCTCTTCCCCCTTATTTCCCCGAGCTTCCCACCCTCCCTTGTCTCGACGAACCTCAGTCCTAACACGGCGGGTCTTCCCCCTCCCTCCCCGAACCTCCTCCCAGACCTCCCCCTCCCGGAAAGTTCGAAAGATACGAGCACGACAACAGTTCACCACAAAAGATTGACAACAACAACAACAACAATCAATCAATCAATCAATGTCCCCGAACCTCCCTTCCCTCCCTTATCTCCCTCTTCCCCCCTATTTCCCCGAGCTTCCCACCCTCCCTTGTCTCGCCGAACCTCAGTCCTAACACGGCGGGTCTTCCCCCTCCCTCCGTGAACCTCCTCCCAGACCTCCCCCTCCCGGAAAGTTTGAAAGATACGAGCACGACAACAGTTCACCACAAAAGGTAAGTGGCGAATCGAACCAGCTCCGATACCAAAATGCAAGGAACATGAATGTGGACGAAGCACATAAATCCAGATTGCAAGGTAAGTGGTGAATCGAACCAAGGAAAGTGGCGAGTCGAACCAGCTCCGATACCAAAATGCAAGGAACATGAATGTGGATGAAGCACAGAAATCCAGATCGCAAAATCACACTGAAGTCCAAGTAGTCAAAGCAAGAGAAGATAGCACAATGGAACCGAGTAACCATCCATTTGAGAACGATACAGAAGAATCGTGCGTCAATGTCCAAGCCCAATCGGGCAACACCAACAGCATAACCCAATGTAGCTCTCTCTCCTGAATGGCACCAGGCGCCTCCCACCCTCCCTCGTCTCCCCGAACGTCGTTCCTCCCGCTGCTCGCCTTCCCCCTTCCCTCCCTGAATGTCCTCCCGGACCTCCCCGGCCCCCGTGCCGAACCTCCTCCCTCCCGAACGTCTGTCCTAACACCGTGCGTCTTCCCCCACCCTCCCCGAACCTCCTCCCAGACCTCCCCCCCCCTCGAAAGTTCGAAAGATAGGAGCACGACAACAGTTCGCTACAAAGATAGGGTCTTTCCCNAAGATAGGAGCACGACAACAGTTCGCTACAAAGATAGGGTCTTTCCCTCTTCCCCCCCCATCTCCCCGAGCCTCCCACCCTCCCTTGTCTCCCCGAACTTTGCTACCTCCCACTGCGCGCCTTTCCCCTTCCCTCCCCGAACGTCCTCCCGGACCTCCCCGACCCTCGTGCCATCCCTCGTCCCGAACCTCAGTCCGCATTGCCCGAGCCTCCATCCTCGCACTGCGCACCTCCCCTCTCCCTCCCCGAACCTCCTCCCGAAGCTCCCGGCATGGAAGAAAGGACAAAGCCAGAGAGAGAGAGAGAGAGAGAGACTTGCCCGTCTCCAACCTGTTCCTCCCGCTTCCCGCCAGTCTCCATCCCCTTTCTTCCCGCCAGTCTCCATCCCAACCCCCATCTTTCCCAACCCTACCCGCGGACAAACCCCGAAGAGAGAGAGAGAGAGAGAGAGAGAGAGAGAGAGAGAGACTGACCTGCTTCTTGGGCGACGGCGGCGGCTGGCTGGTACGGCGGCGTGGGCTGGACGATGGCGGCCGCTTGATGGCTCTTGGACGCTGGCGGTGGCTTYGTGTTTCGTCGGCGATGGCAGAGGAGAYGYGACGGGCAGCAGGCGGCGGGTTCCRAACGCGSCCTCCAGACTCGAAAAACGGCCAGCTCGAAGTTCGAACTTCGAAAATGCTGGCCCTGCCTCCCGCCACCCCACCTGGCTCTGCACAGTCTGTGGCGGGTCCGGCCTTCGACCTGTGTCCGGTAGGCAAAAAAAAAAAAGAAAAATCGGCCCAGCATTTTTCAGGGGCCGACGAGGACCCCAAAAACGTCCTCCGAGGCCCCTTTTTTTTTTTCGAATTTTCGTTGGGGGGGGCCGTTCCGGACGTCCAGGACCGGACATCGGACCCCTGCAAAATGTTTGCTGTTGTCTGGAAACCGGTCCGGACGTCTGGTCGGTTACCATGGTTTGGCCAAACAATAAGGTCCATTCACACCGAAAATCCAATCTTTCTCATATCTCTTTTTTAATTTAAGACGGAGCCTACAACCGGACTTGAACCGGAGGCCTTTCTTTTACCAAGGGAATGCTCTACCGCCTGAGCTACGTGGGCTCACGGGGAAATTGGAGACGATCGGGCTAAAATTACGTGTGGTGTGTGGTAGTCCAAACTTGCGTGTGGCTAGCAGTGGTCCAAAATTACGTGCGGTTTCTTTTAACTCGTGCACGTTCTTGTTGGTGTGTGGTTTCTTTTTAACTCGTGCTCTTGTCGGTGCAAATACCTCTTTGGGGCTCGTTCGACACTCCTCGGACGCCTAAAGTCCCCGAGGAATTGTTCGTTCCACTTATCCTCGGGGTTGCAGTTGGAAAAAAAAAAGTGAAAACACTCCGAAGGAAAGTCCTCGGGCTCCGAGGATTCCCCAGCCATTTCTCCCTTTTGCCCAAGGGACCTCACGAGGTCCCTTGGGCAAAAGGAATCCGCGTTTCACGGAGAGGAGCGGGCACACGCGTAGAGAGACGTTACAACCGAGAATCTGGATCGTGGCGGCACCCTATTGGCTGAAGGCCTTAAGCACATTTGCTTTTTTTTTTTTTCCTTTTTTCTTTTCTGACATCGCTCCAAGGAAACGTCCTCGGGCGACGTTCCCGAGGACAGGTGCAACAAAGGGCCCAAATTTCCTTTTGATTAAAAGGAATTTTTCCTCGGGCTCCGAGGACGCCCCAAGGAGTGTCGAACGAGCCCCTTTGTATCCGACTTAGCAATGAAAGACAACCTCAGGAGCTGAGTTGTCGTTTATTGCTAAGTCGGATACAAAGAGGTATTTGCACCAACGAGAAGATATACTCAATCAAAGGCAATAAAGAATAAACAAATTGAAAATTTGTAATTATGAATATTTTATGATTTATAAATAAAATATGTATTTTTTAAATAAATAATAAAGCGTAAATTTGATATTCTTACGTCTATGTCTCTGAATCTATTAGACAAAGGCTAAAAAATCGATTCTTTATGATCGCGAATTAAAAATGAGTTTTATTTGGCATTTTATGTACTGCAACCGAACACAACGCACCCTCACCATGAATTTATACTGAGCTATCTTTCCGGTGTTATACAGTTATGACGATGGGGGTTCGGGAGAAACGCATCCTCACCATGAATCTATACAAGCTATTTTCCCGGTCTTATACAGTTATGATGAGGATGAGTTGTTCGGGAGAAGTAGATGGTAGTGGCTCGACAGAGGCAACTGTGGGAGTGTGAACACATGTTAACGTTCCTTCCCCAGCAGCACACACAACAGGCAAGAGCATGAACAATTTAAAATGACTTGGGAACCCAGGGACCCAAGCCCCACTAGCAGCAGCAGCTCAATCGAGATATCGATTTTCAGTGTGGGCAAAAAGTATGGGCATCGGAATCGGTTGGCCCTGAACCAGTGCTTGAAAACTACGGAATCAAGCTTCTAGAGGGACTCGGGCTTCTGAGGTAATTTGTGGTCGTGCCTTCTAAGTCTGATATGCAACTGCCGGATCAGCCTTCATCAGT